CGGGGCTGGGATTTGGCACAGGGAGGTAATCGAGCATGCTGATTACGATTACAATATTTTTGATACTACTTATTACTTTTATCGATTTTATCGATTTTTCAAAATTTAAGCTGAAGGGCTGGGAGTTGGCACAGGTCGGTAAGTGGCTATGCTGATTTCGAAAACAACGCAGGGAACGGGAAATGAAGTGTAGAAGTCGGCACAGGAAAAGGCTGTACAGGGATGGGGATGGGAACTTTATTACAGTGTTTTGACAGGTCCGAGCGGAGCGGGTCCAGCTAGTTCAGGATAATGCCAAGAGAATGATTTCAAAACTACTATAACGTTCCTACCCGATGCTAATTTCTCGTTTTTCCTTCTCTAAATTTTTTTTAGACAATCTTCACTTATTATAAGGGACAAGATCTTGCGGTCCAATCTCTAGACTATCGAAGATATGCAAACACTACAAAAGATCGCTTAGACTTGAATCTACCATAATCTCAGAGACAGCACACCTGCCACTGCGTTATGCCTACCCGAACGTTAAGTTTGGGCACAAAGGGCTATGCAAGCAAAGCGTCCGTGACTTACCCTTGAGAACGCTTGAGTCGCTCCTAGAAGCGTTCAGCAAATAATGAGGATAGATCTGGGGTCAGCGTTCCAAGCTCTCACTAACAGTATGTGCAAGGTAGCGGCCTCTTGGACTTCGTAACCTATGCCAGAACACAAGGCATAGGTGTCCAATGAACAAGTCCTAGTTGAAGCGAAATTCAATAGTGCTACACCTCTGCCTCGCAGAGGTGTAGCACTAGTGAATTTCGCTAGTTCTTCGCACTAGTCTACTGTAGTTAGAACCGAATATTTGCATCCAAATAATTTGATTGAAATATTCGAACAGTCAAATATTCGAGAAAGTCCATTTATTGATTATTCGAATATCGAGTAATTGGAAAAGGTCCATTATTCAAATAATTCATTCATCCAACGAATTGGAAAAATGACTTATTCGAATAGTCGAATATTCGAGGAATTCTAACAAGGGAAGTTCACTCAGTCGCAGTGGCGATCCGGAAGATCTATACCAATGGATAAAACTCAAAAAGCTGGTCTCAGATATACCTTCTATATCTGCTTCATTGTTTTAAAAAAGTTATGAGCTTCTCTAAAGCCAAATTTTAGTGCACTTTGAGTCGCAAAATCAAGATAATCTCTACAAAAAAGTGTGCAAGCTTAAGCAAACTCCTTAGTAAGCATTGTAGGTCTAAGTCGAGTTCATCCGAATGTTTTCGATGTTTTTCGACCATGTTGTTCATTTACAGGTCATCATTTCATTCCTAGATCACACTTCCATCATGTGTACAAAAAAGCTCCGTAACTTCCGTCTAGAAAAACGCGTCGCGTAGGAAATTTTTTGGAAACTACCAATGGATAGAACGTAAAAAGATGTTTTCAAATATATCTTTAATATCTGCGACGCATTCTTCTAGATGGATGTTATGGGCTTCTTTGTATATATAATGGAAGTGTGATCTAGAAAGGAAATGGTGACCTGTGGATAAACAACATCTCAGATAATCGCCGGGGGCAGGCGGCCATGCGATTTATGGGCGGGCGGGCACCGAAAAAATAGTTCGCTGATTTCTTGCGGTCCGCTTGCAGACATTTGGGAAAATTTTAGCGAAATTTTAGACGAATGCTTGAAGAACGATCGCGGCTTCCTTATAGATTAGTTGCGGCGCAGTGGCCGCATTCTCGCGGACTTTCGCGAGAGTATGCAAAATTTTCGAGGGGCGCACGGTTCTTTGTGGAAGACCGCGCAGCCCCCAGGTACTTTCCGCTGAGAGAAAGTACCTCAAACTTGAGTAACTAAACCAACGGTGACACCTCCGCCACATAGAGTCTTACCTGTGCTCGGCGTATGCCCGAAACTGCTTGAAAAGAGTCCGAGCGCTTGCTGAAATTGGCCAGCGTTCGCTGAAAGAAATAATTTGCCGAGCGCTTGCATAAAATACTGTATTGCTGCCCGCTGGCAGATTATACGACCGTAAAGGAAATGCCGCCAGCTGAAGGTTTGGCCACGCCCCAAAATTCTGTTGATCGCTTGCAGAAAAGCGCGAGTTTGCGGACCGCCCCTGCCCCCGGCGATTATCTGAGATGGTCGGAAAACACTCGAAAACGTTCGGATGAACTCGAATTAAACCTACAATGCTTACTAAGTGGTTTGCTTAAGCTTGCACACTTTTGTGTAGCGATTATTGATTTTTGCGACTCAAAATGCACGAAAATTTGGCTTTAGAAAAGCTCATTACTCTTTTCAGAACAATGCGTCGCAGATGTAGAAGGTATATCTGAGATCAGCGTTTTAAGCTCTATCCATTGGTATAGATCTCCTTCTGAATCGCCATTTCGACTAAGTGAACTTCCCTTGTAAGAGACATTTATCCGAATATTTGAATATTCAAGAAGTTTCGAACAACAGTTGTTTGAATATCCGATTAATCGAAAAATGTACTTAAATACTCGAATATTGCATTCGAATATACGATCAAATTCGGTTATTCGAATATCCGAAAAATCGAATTTTCGAGTGTGCCCGTATTTAAATATTAAATTCGAATGCTGTGAAATCGGAAATCGAAATTCGAAATTTTACCGAAACGAAATTAATTGGTAATCATTCGTTCGAACACACATATACACATACACATACACATACACATATACACATACATACGTACAAAAAGAAACTATGCTCAAATTTTTTTCAAAAAGTTGGGTAATTAAACCGGCCGCCGAGCCGGGAAGACCCCATTTTTGCACTCTGACATGGTCCCTGCCGCCAGGGACGTCTACAAGGAGAGCATCTACAACCCGAACCCAGGACCTTCTATATAGTGTATTGCCGCGCTCAATCGCTCGATTGAGTTCGGTCAAAGTGCATTGAGGTTCGTTGGCGGCCCATCCCTTTTGGCCGACCCGCCCCCTCCGTTGGAAACCCCGCCCACTCGGTCAAAATGGCCTGCACGCTCCTGTAGGACTAGATACATACATACAAAAAGAAACTATGCTCAGATTTTTTTCAAAAAGTTGGGTAATTAAACCGGCCGCCGAGCCGGGAAGACCCCATTTTGCACTCTGACGTGGTCCCTGCCGCCAGGGACGTCTACAAGGAGAGCATCTACAACCCGAACCCAGGACCTTCTATATAGTGTATTGCCGCGCCCAATCGCTCGATTGAGTTCGGTCAAAGTGCATTGAGGTTCGTTGGCGGCCCATCCCTTTTGGCCGACCCGCCCCCTCCGTTGGAAACCCCGCCCACTCGGTCAAAATGGCCTGCACGCTCCTGTAGGACTAGATACATACATACAAAAAGAAACTATGCTCAGATTTTTTTCAAAAAGTTGGGTAATTAAACCGGCCGCCGGGAAGACCCCATTTTTGCACTCTGACGTGGTCCCTGCCGCCAGGGACGTCTACAAGGAGAGCATCTACAACCCGAACCCAGGACCTTCTATATAGTGTATTGCCGCGCCCAATCGCTCGATTGAGTTCGGTCAAAGTGCATTGAGGTTCGTTGGCGGCCCATCCCTTTTGGCCGACCCGCCCCCTCCGTTGGAAACCCCGCCCACTCGGTCAAAATGGCCTGCACGCTCCTGTAGGACTAGATACATACATACAAAAAGAAACTATGCTCAGATTTTTTTCAAAAAGTTGGGTAATTAAACCGGCCGCCGAGCCGGGAAGACCCCATTTTGCACTCTGACGTGGTCCCTGCCGCCAGGGACGTCTACAAGGAGAGCATCTACAACCCGAACCCAGCACCTTCTATATAGTGTATTGCCGCGCCCAATCGCTCGATTGAGTTCGGTCAAAGTGCATTGAGGTTCGTTGGCGGTCCATCCCTTTTGGCCGACCCGCCCCCTCCGTTGGAAACCCCGCCCACTCGGTCAAAATGGCCTGCACGCTCCTGTAGGACTAGATACATACATACAAAAAGAAACTATGCTCAGATTTTTTTCAAAAAGTTGGGTAATTAAACCGGCCGCCGAGCCGGGAAGACCCCATTTTGCACTCTGACGTGGTCCCTGCCGCCAGGGACGTCTACAAGGAGAGCATCTACAACCCGAACCCAGCACCTTCTATATAGTGTATTGCCGCGCCCAATCGCTCGATTGAGTTCGGTCAAAGTGCATTGAGGTTCGTTGGCGGTCCATCCCTTTTGGCCGACCCGCCCCCTCCGTTGGAAACCCCGCCCACTCGGTCAAAATGGCCTGCACGCTCCTGTAGGACTAGATACATACATATACACATATACACCAGTGGCGGACCCAGGGGGGGGGGGCGCCCCCCCCCCCGAGAATGGGTCGCGAAATTTTTGAAACTTATCTATATGGGTTGTAAAAATGTGCAAACGACTTGTTTGCACTTGAAAATAATTGAAATAATTTTTAAAATTTTTTAAAAATTCGTTTTAGCCTTATAAAAATTTTTTTTCGGGGGCGTGGCTGACGCCAGGCCCCCTTTTTTCAGACTTTAGGGGTCGGGGACCCGCAAAAATTTGGAGAAGCACCCCAAAAAATTTTTCGGAGTGCGTGGCTAACGCCACGCACCTTCTTTAGAAAAAAATTTTTGTCGCGCCCCCCCCCCCTCCCCCCCGAAAAAAATTTCTCGGACCGCCACTGATATACACATATACACATATACACATATACACATATACACATATACACATATACACATATACACATATACACATATACACATATACATACACATACACACACACACACACACACACACACACACACACACACACACACACACACACACACACAAACGTAAACAAACCTTAGCCCGTTATTATAAAGTCTTGATAATTACTCGTCATTCTATTTTTGGTTGCTTAGAGCATATTCAGTAGCAAGGCGCTAGCACTTACACCATTGACGGTCGAAGAGAGGCTTATTTCAACGAAGTATGACTGAATATTTTGCAAACAGTAAACACTGGAAAAAAACCTGTAGGTTCCAGTCTATCGTCCACAGATCCTTCATAAGAGGAGAACTTCAGTCGATTGATTTCACGAACATTAGGGATGAAAAGATGTGCAAAGTATTTGTACCTGGAATGACCAAGTGAGATGTGCAAAAGCGGTAAATGAACGTTGAGTAGAGCCTGATCAAAGACAAAGGAGTTCCTCTAGGGGAGCAGTCGAATGCGGACGGTAATTCAAAGGGAAAAGTGCGCTTTCCGGGCAATTTAAAGACGATGTGATTGCCTTAGGCTTAAGGCATACCTCCCGCGATTCCAGTGGCGCACGATTCCCAACTCGGACATATGTTCCAATTCCGCAGCGCACACGCGCCCTTTAATACGCGGTCGCACTGCGTCTGTGTTAGATGGAGGCTGCGACGAATCGTGGACCATTTTTGGACGGGCATACTCTCAGCAGGGAATCGTCGCGACAGCTCCAACTCAGCGATGTCGCCGTCGCTAAATCCGACCCAGCGATGGGCAAGTCGCTCGAATGTCTTCTTCTTTGTAAAAATTTTTTTTTTGCAAATGCGAATTTGATTTAGATTACTCCAACATATACACACGATTCTTCTCTGTGTGCGAGAAGGATGGTCATCGAACATTCCACACTATCAATCATTGAGTACACACATGCAAAGTACATAGTATGGAGTGCTTTTCATATGTCACCTCACCCTCTGTGTTACCATCTAATGTTCTCGCAATGCACTAATCATCTTCCGTTCCTACTTTTTTTTCACAAATGGTGACCAAGTCTCAAATCTTCTTGCTATGATCTCTGGAGCAGAATAGATGTGCATTGTCGGTTGCTCAGGCATCTATGTATAATGAAAAGGAAAGTGAAAAAACTATTATTAAATTATTATTCCTACAATTTCAACCTTGCCCGCCAAGCACGCATGGTTTCGCCCATTCGCTTTGGTATTTTCCTCTTTAAGCCCGTATGCACGTACGTCCCCGCTGGGGAGGGGAAGGGAGCTGGATCCCCAGGTGAACGATCCCCTCCGCCGACCCCCGCCATGACAGAGGGGAGGGAAGCGATCCCCTCCCCTGCACCCAAGCGGGGATGGTGTGAATGGTTTCAGAGGTATTGATCGAGCGAACCCCAGTGCATACGGGGTTCGAATGGGGGAGGGAATCCCTTCCCCTCTCCCACTCGAACCCCGTATGCGCGAATCTAACTCAACAACACGGGGGAGGGGATCGACATCCCCTACAACGGAGTAGGGGTTCGATGGTGTAGGTCAAGCCAGAGAAGGAGTATTCTAATTTCAATCAATTATTACAAAGCATTTCGTTCAAAACATACCTTCGATACATAGAGCCACGTACTCTGGTAACCTTCACTTTGAGTGTCATGAGAGGACACAACCTTCACCTGGAGAGGTACAAGTCATCCGGGGCGAAGCCCCGGATATTATGACATAACTAATGACTAACTATGTAAGGATGAATGTGAATGAGGCATATAGTAGTGACATCCAAAGGAAAGCTCAAAAAACCGAAAGATTGCGTTTTCATGGCCTTTTTTGCTGAAAAGAGGGTTTTTCTTCAAAAATTCAGTTAGAAATTAGGATAAAACTTATCAGTTAACCTTTCTATAGACTGCGATTGAGCGTTGGAGGTTCATGAAAGCCGCTGGAGTTCAACAAAAACGAGAAACTGCGCTGAAACCTTGCGCAGAGAGTCCCCACATAAATGCTGGTCTATCTCGTTATGGAGTGAGATTCAAGACTTGCGACGTTGTCGGTGCTCCTGGTCGTGTCATGAGGATCACAACGATATATAATATTATAGGGTTTCGTTATGACCCCGCGGAGATCAATGACCAGAGCCAAATGCCTCGCCGGCTCTGGTCTCTCTCCGCTGCTCGTCTGCGTCTCCGCGCGCTGCGCGCTACCTCGCTACCCCAAGCGCGGGGCGCGGGGCATTTGGCTCTGGTACCCTTTTCTTCGCTGTTTCGAACCCAATTTTAGCAAGCTATATATCATTTTGAAGCTCTTGATCTCTATTTTTACGCTGACAACGTCGCAGGACTCCTTTTTATGATTTAAACAAGAAATCCGGCAAAAACCTTATTTTTGAAAATCTCTCGTTTTTCTCTTAGTTTGACTCTTTTCACGCAGTTTTTTTGTGTAGTCGATAGGTCTTGTTTCTGTCTATAATGTAGACAACGTCGCCGAGCTTATTTCTTTGCTTATGCCGCTTTTTTTGTAGAAATTACTAAAAAATGCGTTTTTCTTTACCTTATTCTTTTTCAGTAGTTTCGCAACGAATTTTCTCCAGCTTGGACGATACTTGCTCAGAATGATGAGCGGAAGAATCCAGACAACGTCGCAGGGTACAAGAGGGACGGCGCGGGGGTAAAAATTTAAAGGACGCATCAAAAATCAAAACCCCGTGTTGCGAATTGCTGGTCCTAGAGCGAAAACTTGCACTCTGTAAAGCCGCCAAATGAAAGATTTCAAATCTTATTGCAGCGTTTTTATCCGGTTTACAGCCGTTTCTTTTGCTTTTTAGTCTGTTTTACGTCATATTCTCTTCTCTAATCTTCTTTGAACAACCTTCACCATTTGTGACGTCAGATGTTCAAACAACCTTCACTTTTGGCGCCCTGTCTCTAGACTATCGAAGGTATGGTTCAAAATAATGAAGGATTTTCTACGGGAGCCGGGTTATCTCTCAGCGACCTGTAGCTTGCAGTTTTAACTCTTTCTTCCATATTCGCTTCTTGTAAAAAAAATCCCGGACATATATCTGCCAGTTTCGAATATCTGTAGAAGTTTGAAACCATTCACGAGAGTTGCGCATTTTCTACTTGACATGATTGTTTTATCCATAAAAGCTGGTACAACATACTGTAATTATCACATTATATGATAAATTTTCTTCATCTTGTTATTCTAACGTAAAACTGCTTTGAATAAAATGAAAATTAGCAGAATCGCGTGCTTCTGAGTAGAGATCCTCGGGGGAGTGATCCCTTCCCCAGCGTTCCCCTTGTGCATAACAGGGATGGCCGCTAGGGATCACTCCCCTGGGATAAAGGACGATATGCAGCTGATAACTACAGCGTTTATGAAGAGCTGGCACAATTTGCATCTTCTGTTATGTGTTAAAATACTGCTTTGAGCGTCCGCGCGGCACCCCCACCCCCCCCCCCTTTCCGGCAGCATAACGTCTTCTACCCATTCCCTTGCAGAGACACATCAACTTCTGTAGTTCAACATTTTTACGCTGAAATGGAGCAGCATGAGCGAAAGTGGGCAGCATCCAAGAAAGCAGGAACATAATGGGAGTAGAAAAATCATTTTTGGTGCGCCGAGCGCAGTCACTGCATATGCGCATTCCGCAACCCTAAATTATTGAAAGTGAGGAGATGAAGATGAGTTGCAGTCGATATGAAATAAGAAAGAATTTTTCATAGAAAATTTGAAAGCAAGATGATTTCCCCGCTTGATCCCCTCTTGTGCATAAGGGGGTTCACTTCCCCTGCCCACAGGGGATCCCTTGTCCGATATTGTCTTTGTGCATACGGGGCTTCGCGCGGGGAGGGAAGGGGATCCCCAGCGGGGATCATTTCAATGGTATAACGCACATCCCCTCCCCGCGGGGATGTACGTGCATACGGGCCTTAGATTCGCTTGTAAGTGATAAGTTCAAGACATACACACCATGGCTCTGGAAGAGCGAAAGTTTGTCGGTTTTTTTTACAAATGCACATATACCTCGAAAAGGTGCCATATTTGACTCAAAGTATTCCCAAACTCATAGCATAAGACCACTGATGATGCATATGTTTTTTATCTCGACATTGTGTTATTTGACGTTTTTCTTCATAATCACGTTCCTTTGGCGCATGAATGGATGCACTCAATAAATAATTAAAAATAAATAATCGTTTGCAGATTGGCAGACAAGAGCTCGTGTCGAAATAGCCTACCCAGAATTTTTTACAGAGCCGAAAGCATGATTTTACTGCTACAAAGCTGACATATAGGGCTTATCGAATTGAGTGTCGTTTGCACCAGCATCTCCATCTTCGCACTGGACTCTGCGTCTCTTCTGCGGCACATGTTCCCTAATCACTTCCAATCGATTGAGGCTCCACCTTTCCCACGCTCGCCCTGGGAAAGTGCTTAGAGAGCAGCCCCGCGGAAGAGACGCAGACTCCAGCGCGAAGATGGAGATGCTGGTGCAAACGACACTCAATTTGATAAGCCCTATATATGCCTACCAGACTTGAAGAAAACTCACAACTTTATAAACCAGTTGTCGATTACATTGCAGATGTAACTATTGAACTTGCGCGGGTAGAAAAACGTTGGTAAATACTGGGATGTGTGTGAATTCATATCCTTTCTCGTATGTAATATTTTCTTAAAAGCAGGCGCCTTATTTTGTTTGAATTCTCTCAAATAAATGCACTTCAGACAATTTAGTGCAAGTTTTTCAAAGGTGCGTATAATGCGATGTGGTGTGTGAGCGTCTAAAAAATTGTTTTGGGTATGTCCAGGAATCAAGAGCGATTTTCCCGCAGTGAACGGTCGTCCAGGTCTAGTCGCAGCGATCGAAAATCGTAACGACGGGGTCGCTGGAGGTATGCCTTAGGCCTTAGCGAACGCACGCGCAGCAAGGGTAAACATGGCGCGCTGAGGTAACTGTGGGGGGTACACCAGCAGTTGAACAAATGATTGAATTTTTGCATCTTGCTTCCTGTATATTATGGCGCAGTTAAAGTCCGCTCGTTGATTTCCTAATTCGAAATCAGAGAAGTGAAAAATCAACAAATGGTTTCGCGTAAGTCATGGGCGCTCCTCCAAGCGGCGGCGTACCGCTCCAAAGGTTCACTGCTACTTCTCCAGGCGCTTACCGCTTTCAAGGGCCTAAAATTCCGCCTTACAAGGTCCATCATTCTAGAGCCTGTCCATGGCCCTGATTACATTTGTGAAATTGAAAGTGTGCACCCTCCCTCCTCTTCCCAAGAAAAAAAAAACGGATTTCTGAGAGTGCCTACCTTAAGAGCACAGGCAATTGTACGAATACAAAAAAGCCACATTTCAAAATGCCTGTCTATCTTTGCTCTATCGTACGATCCGTGTAAATGGTCCAAAAAGGCACAAAAAACTATAAGAGCAATATACTGGTTGAAACAAAACTTTTGCGTAAGTCGAACACTTCATTCATTGCTTACCAAAATTCCTTACCAAATGTTCGTTCCAAGTTGTAAGTTAAGCAACTAAGTGGAAAAAGCTTTACGTGCAAACGATATCCGCCATGGAGACGAAATTTAGTCGAAGGTGGGCGCATCAGAGCTTCTAGAGCGCTCATCGGTTCCGAAATAATAATCAATGCAGTGAGGCCTTGAATTATTGGAATAAAAGGTTGAATAAAGTTGTGACAACCCAAAGGATTTGAAACACTTATTATGAGCAATTTTGCATTTATGCAACATATGCGACACTAAAACTGCGAAGAAGTTAAAGGCAGTGTCCAAGCAAAAAGTCGATTTTGAGATTTTGTGCTTACCCGGGCTTATTCGCCATGCTGAACCGATAAACCACAATGGAGAGCGCGAAAATGCCAAAAAAAAGGCCCTAATGCAGGAAAAAAATCACAGGTGGGCCGGGCCGTTCACACCGTGACGCCACTCTCCCAGGCTTTAGGGGCGATCTTCTGTTGGGTCGCAGTTGGGTGGTGGTGATGTTAGTGCGGTTAGCGGAAGCGAGAAGATCGCTCCTGAAGCTGGGAAAGTGATGCCACTATGTGAACAGCCCCGCCCACCTGCAATTTCCCTCCTCCGTTAGAGCCTTTTTTCGCCGTTTTCGCGCTCTCCAGTGGTGATTTTCGGATTCAGCATAGCGAATAGGCCCAGGTAAGCACATAATTTCGCAATCGACTTTTTGCTGGGACACTGCCTTTAGAGGCTAACGTACTGTTTTTTTGACTCGGCCAGATTCGAGAACGACGCATGACGAGTAAGCTTCGTCAAAGCTCGTGTTTTCTCCAAAGCGTTTCGAACTTTGCACACCTGAAATACTGCGTTGTACACGACAATCACATCAAGGTTCATATTTTCGACAAAAGAGCCGGAGCCTTCAGAAAGCTGCTTCTAAGATGTGAAAACAAAGCAAATGAAGATTGCAAGCTGCAACTGATGTTATCATGTTCACGTCCAGGCCAAGGCAATACACTAATTCCGATCAAGCTTTCCTTGTCTAGTCAATTTTTATCCATTGGTGATCAACCCAAGATTCTTGCTCTCGAAGATCTCTTGGAAATACACTCAGATTGTCTAGTTAGTAATGGCGCTATAGAAATGCCGTTCACTTTGCTTGGAGGCATTATGCGGTAGGACCTAGGCGGGTAGGACAAAAGGAAAGAGCGAGTTTATAAGTTCAGCGAGTTTTATCTCCCTACTAGCTGGCTTACCCGGCTCCGCCGTACGGGGGTGATCAGCATGCTCGATTACCCCCCTGTGCCAACTCCCAGCCCGTAGCTCAAATTTTGCAAAAAATCGATAAAATCGATATCGATCGATGACGAAAAGTAGCCTATGACACCCGCCGGGGCCCGAAGTGTATGTGTGCTAAGTTTGGTCCCGATCGGTTCAGAAATGGAATTTTCTATTCGGAACATACCCCCCCCTAAAAGTACCGATCCGTACGGCCCCTCCCCGCCCTCCCCGCCTCCTCCACTTCCTTTTGCGGTAACTTGCTTAAACGAATGTCTATCTCAAAAGATGCCTGCCAAAGGACCTCAATCAAAATTATAGGTCAGAGAAAGACATCTACTTACAAATTGGTAGATAAAGCAAGTAATGCTTCACCACTCAAAAAACAAATAATTCTACGTAGATTAAGTAGTAAAATTTTACAAATCGGCCATGCTTAATGTAGGAAAATATGAATGGAAAGAGCATTATCTGACAAAGCAGAACATCGATTTCAATTTGAATGGTATTTGAGCTGTACTCTACCTATAAAAAATGAAATAAAATAACAACCAAGAAAAATTCAGCATAACGGAACGGTTCACTTTAGTCACTATAATTGACTATTTTATAATAACTCCTTTCCTAGAAAAGGTTAATAGACTTTTCTGCTGTTTATGAATGTTCGGCATAATCCGTTCATGGTCCAATAGCACCGGAATATAGACTATGGTTCTGGAAATTGAAACGTTTTAGACTTTAATGACAGTCCAGTAGTCCACGTGCGCGACAATATTTTTTTTTGCAGGGAGAGAAATCTTATCGATATCTTTAAAACGTAAAAATTAATTTTCGACTAAAAAGCTTACTTTCTATCTATTACACGGATTTTCCTGCGAAAAAAAAAAACGTTTTAGGGCCTTCCAGAACGATGCTAAAAACGTGCATGAGCACGGTACTTTAAAAATTTGTAACTAAGGTCAGAAAAAGACTGAGAGGCTGTAATGAATAGACTGCATTATTCTGCTCATACTATCCATGGAAAAAGTTTCAGCCATTGAGGAGCAGTGAGCTCGAAAAAATTTAGATGCGACTCTAGCAAATTCAGATGCAATCCTAAAAAGCAAAAACTGGGATTTTTAAGCTTGAAATTTCGAACTCACCGGAGAAGTTATGAAACCGCCTAAAATTTTTATGATAGAAAGTAGGAGGATGGCCTCGTAATACAGCAAAATTGCAGCGAGCAGGCCTCCATAGCGGCGAAAAAATTTAGACGCGACCCAGATACGACCCCCTTTTTTCATTTTTTGTTGCCATATATAAAATTTGAAAAAAATCGACAGGCTATGAAATATAACCAGATTTTGCACAAATGTAGCAGAGCATCTCCAAAGTATAGGTAAATTGTATGGGCCCTTGAAAGACATAATAAAAAGTTTTAAAAATTATCGCTGCTCATGGCTGGTAGAGATGAGCGCTTTTGTCGAGAGTTGAGATTTCAGTGATGTTTCGGAACCAGGATTTTTAGGCCAATTGGTACATTCAACATTCTTGTCACTTATACATGCTTAGTGTTAGCTTCTGAAAGTGTCTTTGGAATCTGCGGTCATACTAGTGGCCAGCAAGTTCAATCCCCGTCTGCGACACCTTTCTTGCAGAAAAAAATGCTTTTTTTGAAGAGTAGAGAATGTTTGCGACTAAGAATCTTATTTCCTACATTCCACACTTTTTTTATTCGGAACTCTTACGACCCCCCCCCCCCCGCCGGTGCCCCCTTTATGACCCCGCGTTGCGACAGTCGCATCACATGTTTGACCCTGCTCAAGACCGATATACCATCTTCCCACGTCTCCCGATACTCCCTCCCATGTCTATCTCGTGCGTATTGTGGACGCTGAATCCAGTAAAAAAGGAGAGAGAGCAAGCACACCACACGCCTCCATTCAGCCTTCACTCTCTCCCACCCTTTCCCCTCATTCGTAATCTTTAGTGTGTGAATAAATATTTATAACTGTATCACCGTTTATTGCTACACGCCCAGGCAAGGATTCGATCAACCCTTGGTCCTGAAAATTTCACGATTTACAAAAAAATCAGCAGTAAATCTCACAAGCAGTTGTCTTGTACTACTCAATCATAATTAGTTTTCTGACACAGCAAAAAAAATGGAAGATTCTTCCATAAAACTTTTGATATCATATTCAGTCACAGATTAGAAGAGAAAAGCGATAAACTGTGTTTGGCAAGAAACAAGAACATCTGAGGGCAGCAGGACCCAGAATTAATCATTGCAAGACCGAGGCATTCACCATTAGAACACGCGACCACTCGGGGCAATTACAGTTGATTGCACGGAATCGCCCGGGCTAAACCTCGCGAGCGTGTCTCTTGCGGGCTAACACTGGCATCGCGCACGAGTCATCATGGCGCCCGTACTCGACAGCCGCGTTGCTGGCTCGCTCGCGTGCTTTCAGCCTACAACGATATGGACGAGTTCGTGCAGTTGACTTTACCTGCGATTTCCCGAATGTCACAAGGGTCACATTGCAACTTTAAAAATGCACGACCTACTCCAGAACAAAGCCCAATTAGTCTGTTAACTGCGCTCTGCATTTGAATCCGTAAGTTTTCGCTTTTTGATATCAGCGCGCTCAAATTTCGATATTGTATAGACTGCAGTATGAACTATAAACTAGCACAAACCGCTCGCTTTCCGATGACAAAATGGAAAAAATCCGAGAGATTCTCGAAAATTGGTGATGGTGAAATTCGAGGATTTATGGAGTTTTAAGATAAAGTGAAGCCATTCTTAAATTGAATCATGCACAACAATCAGAAAATGTTCACAAATTGTTTAGAGGCTGAATCACCTAGCGCAGTAAGGAAGAAAAGGAATTCGAAGACAACTCGAGACTTGTCGCCCTCACAAATTGAACGAGCCGCTGTACGCAAAGCTGCTAGAGGACAAGCGTCAATCACGAAGGAGTCGAATTCTTAGAAGCCAAAACTTTGCATGGTGAGGTTAATTGCCCCGCCGAATACGAATATCATGCTCGTTAGCTGAATTACCGCCTCTTTTATCGTTTAGCGTGAGACCCCCTACCGTAAACCCACTGCATCCTCACAAGTCCCTACCATGAGAAACCGATATCGTTTTCGTGATCAGCATGGCAGATAACCCACTTACGCAAGTTTTAGCCAAATTTGTAATAATTTGTAATTTTTTCCGTACACCATAGGCCAACCGTAACTCTCAATGCTACGCCAGATTGCAGAACTGTGACTGCGCTTGTAGCCTACGTCACTACCTCTATAATGGTAAAATTTGAGTGAGTCATTTGCAAAGAGAGAGTAGTTGTAAAAGTAGTTGCAGAACTTAGTTAACAACCTAATAGAGATAAAGCACATTTGACATCAGAATTTCAAGCCTTGATCCCAGTATTTAAGACGTCCCAAACAGTCACTTCGACTTGAGGACCCGCCCTTGTTACCACTCTAGACTCGGACTTATGCACCGATTTTGCACAACGCTAAAGTAAGATGTAGTCTGCGTAAATTCATTGCGGACAATAGTCCCTTTAATTACCTTAAGTTCTACTTAAAGGTAAAAGATTCCGAGTGATTAGAAGACGCATATTTTTATGTCAACTCTACACAAACTTCCTTGGCCGATTACTATATGCTTGGCTTGCAGAGAGGCTAGAAGAATCTCTCTACAAATCAATAGCGGTCCCAAGACTTCCGTTCGGGAAGAGGGAGGCGACAGGACCTTTTTTGGATGTACCCTATTTCCAGGTGTATAGGCCGCACCCTTTTCGCTCTAAAGGCGAACACGCCAAAAGACTGACTTTCATCATGGAGCGCGTTAAGTGAGAGAAGTATGCGATAAGGCGACCGCTTCGCGAGACATATGCGCGGCGGCACGCCTGGGTCTGCTCGCGTTTAGAGCGAAAAGGGTGCGGCTTATACACCTGAAAATAGGGTAGGGGCATGACGTCGGAACAGTTTTTTGGGATGCTTTCCGTCATTCTAGTAGGCCTACATCCTCGAAATTTTTTTGAATCTATGTCTCACCAGTCACTCCGGTCTACCACTGCTACAAATCCATATGTAGCAACTGCATTACCAATTTGACACTCTCGCAAAATAAGCTATAGAGCATCCTAAAAGCGTGACGATGGTGCGACCGCGCGCAACACACGCACCTTTCGACAACCACATTTTCTTGGTTTCAAAGGCAGGGTCCCGACAAAATTTCGCTCCCCGATTCACCTCTTCGGAGCCTTTTCGCCATGCAAGCCATATCTGAGCTTTTCGGCGCTTGAAATTGGCAAAAATGAGCTTTCTTCGTAGCTTTCCGTGTCCGCGTTTGCTCTAAATCACGTGTAGGAAGTGGTCGTGGCCTGAAAATGGGCGGGATCCGAAAGAATCCTCAGCGGATTTTGAGCTTTCCAGAAGCCTTTTTTGCTCCAGACTTTACTGATAGAATAGACTATATGGAGGGTCTACCATTGGAAAAAATCCCGGTACCCGTCATTTTGAGGGGACGCTGCCTTTAAGACCCACCCGAAAGGTTTTCATGCTTAGGTATGATAATACTTAGACGCCGGAAGTGAATGAGAAGCGTTGAGATGACGAGTTTCTTGATGAGGCTGTTATGCTCCTGTGGCCGCAAAGACCGCAGTCAAATCCGTCGTCACGGTTTTATAAATGAACCTTACCAATATCAACAGCTCAGAAAAGTTGAAAACAACTTTCCGAATGACCTGATATATACTAAAAATGATGTAAACTGCTTCGGTAGTAACGCTTCGTCCATTTCTTAATTCCATGCAAGTCTCTACAGACACTGTAAAAAGACGGTAGTGTCCATGTGCTATGCTGCTACAATAATGCAAGTAAAGCATGGAGCAATCGGTAATTATTTACATATTTCAAAGTACTTATATAAATTATTTATGACAGATAGCGTGCACTGAGCATAGACCATGGCTTATATCCAGGGTCAAGCGTGGGGTGTGGCACGCCACAGCTGCTCAGATAATCGCCGGGGGCAGGCGGTCCGCAAACTCGCGCTTTTCTGCAGGCGGTCAGCAGAATTTTGGGGCGTGGCCAAACCTTCAGCGGGCGGCACTTCCTTTACGGTCGCATATTCTGCCAGCTCAGATAACCGCCGGGGGCAGGCGGCCATGCGAATTTTGAGCAAGCGCGCACCGGAAAAATAGTTCGTTGATTTTTTGCGGCCCGCTTGCAGAAATTTGGAAGAAAGTTGGCAAAATTAAAGACGAATGCTTGAAGAACAATCGCGGTTTCTTTATGGATTAGCTGCGGCGCAATGGCCGCATTCTCGCGGACTTTCCGCGAGAATATGCAAAAATTTCGAGGGCCGCACGTTCCTTTGTGGAGGACCGCGCAACCCCCAGGTACTTTCCGCTGAGAGAAAGTACTTCAAACTTGAGTAATTAAACCAACGGTGACACCTCTGCCACACAGAGTCTTACCTGCGCTCGACGTACGCCCGAAAATACCTAAAAAGAGTCCGAGCGCTTGCTGAAAGTTTGGCCAGCGCTCGCTGGAAGATATTATTTGACGAGCGCTCGCAGAAAATTCTGTAATGCTGCCCGCTGGCAGAACGCGGAAGTACCGCCCGCTGAAGGTTTGGCCACGCCCCAAAATTCTGCTGACCGCCTGCAGAAAAGCGCGAGTTTGCGGACCGCCTGCCCCCGGCGATTATCTGAGAGCGGGCAGCAATACAGCATTTTTTGCAAGCGCTCGGCAAATAATTTCTTTCAGCGAGCGCTGTCCAAACTTTCAGCAAGCGCTCGGACTCTTTTTAGGCATTTTCGGGCCTACGTCGAGCGCAGGTAAGACTCTGTGTGGCAGAGGTGTCACCGTTGGTTTAATTACTCAAGTTTGAGGTACTTTCTCTCAGCGGAAAGTACCTGAGGGTTGCGCGGTCCTCCACAAAGGACCGTGCGGCCCTCGAAATTTTTGCATATTCTCGCGGAAAGTCCACGAGAATGCGGCCACTGCGCCGCAGCTAATCCATAAAAAAACCGCGATTGTTCTTCAAGCATTCGTCTTTAATTTCGCCAACTTTCTTCCAAATTTCTGCAAGCGGGCCGCAAAAAATCAACGAACTATTTTTCCGGTGCGCGCTTGCTCAAAATTCGCATGGCCGCCTGCCCCCGGCGGTTATCTGAGTGGGGGGTCGTACTCAGATAATCGCCGGGGGCAAGCGGCCATGCGAATTTTGAGCAAGCGGGCACCGGAAAAATAGTTCGCTGATTTTTTGTGGTCCGCTTGCAGAAATTTGGAATAATTTTGGCCAATTTTTAGACGAACGCTCGAAGATCTATCGCGATTTTTCTATACATAAGTTGCGGCACAGTGGCCGCATTCTCGCGGATTTTCCGCGAGAACATGCAAAATTATTGAGAGCCGCACGGTCCTTTTTGAAGGACCGCACAGCCCTCAGGTACTTTCCGCTGAAAGAAAGTACCCCAAACTTGGGTAATAAAACCATCGATGGCACCTCTGCCACATAGAGTCTCATCTTTTCTCGGCGTACGCCCGAAACTGCGTAAAAAGAGTCTGAGCGCCTGCTGAAAGTTTGGCCAGCGCTCGCTGAAAGAGATTATTTGACGAGCGCTTGCAGAAAATTTTGTATTGATGCCCGCCTACAGAAAACGCAATTACCGCCCGCTGAAGATTTGGCCACGCCCCGAAATCCTGCTGACCGCCTGCAGAAAAGCGCGAGTTTGCGGACCGCCTGCCCCCGGCGATTATCTGAGTAGAGGGTCAGCAAAAGGAGGGAGGAGGTCGTTATCGAAAAAATAGTGATATTATCGACATTATGTCAGACAACAATGTCTGGTAGGCCCACGTACAAGATACCAGCACTGATGTTTCCTACCCTCATACACGCACAGTAAGCAATATGCCTAATTAGCATGTCCAATAACCGCCAAGCTTCAGTGAATTTTGAGGTTTCCAAATATTGGGACACTCAAGCGAAGTGGTCATCTTCGAACATGCTAACTTTGTTTCAAAGGTAAAAACTACTTCTTTTTGCACTCATCACAAAGTACTACTGCTTCTTTGCTCGCCTTAGAAATCCCACCCCAAATAACCTTCAAACTCTGGAATTAACAGCAAGCCAAAATCTCGTTTGTCCCATTTTTCGCTTTCAATTCCTCAGACTAGAGAAGACCAATCAGGCTCAAAGCTTTGAAAGTTACGAGAATCGCATCGGTAAGGAAAAACAACTATAGCTTTCCCTAGGAAAAACGATTTTGAATAAAATTTCTGCTATATGGAGAAGAAGAAGGTTTAGCGGTAGCAACCATATAAAAAAGACAGAGATTTACATGCTTTAAGGTAAGTTAATGGGACTTACTGGGAATGACTTAATGGGAAAATTCTTTTCGGAGGTAAGTTAATGGGGTGTGGCACAACCCCTAAAAAGCTGTGGCAGCCACAGCTTTTTAGGATTTGTGCCACACCCCATTAACTCACCTCCGAAAAGAATTTTCGCGAACAGAGTATATATAGTTTGATAGCCTGAGTCTAGCAGTTTTCGTAAGAGTAGTTTGGGCCTGACTCATCTTCTTCGCTCTGAGTAAAAGCTGGTGAAAGCGCAGTCATTGAAAGCGAAAATTGGGACGAACGAGATTTTGGCCTGTTTCTAATTCCATAGCTTGATGGTTATCTGGAGCACGATTCATGGTTTTCGTGAATAGGGAGTAATGCTTTGTATTGAGAACAAATAGAGTCGGCTAATTCTTTTCTGGAATACAGTTAGTCATGTTTGAAAATGATCACTTCACTTGGATGGTCCAATATTGAGAACCCTCAGAAATTGCTAAAGCTTGGCCCATGGTGGTTATTTGACATGATAAGTAAGAATATGTGCCTAATCAAAGGCACCGTCCACTCAAAATCTCGAATTCAATGTTTTTGTCGCCATCAGGCCTTCTGATTCCGAATATGGAGTCGAAAATTCGCGAAACCCCCAAAAATCCCTGTTTCGAGAACCCTCTGCAACAAGCGCAGGCGAGATAAAGCATGCTTCTGGAGTGAGAAATCCGCTCCGGAAGTAGCAAAAAGTAGCAAAGTGGACGGGGCAACCATGGTCGCCCCGCCCACTTTGCTACTTCCGGAGCGGATTTCTCGCTCCAGAAGCAGTCTTTTGCGGCGGAGCTTGGGGGTTTGCCTAGTGTGGGGGCCCACATTAGTATGCCATCATAATCTCGCCAACCTCCATTTTGGGTGGATGGTGCCTTTAAGCATGGTAGAGCCTTTATGTCATGCCTAGGCGATATTGCCGGTGGAGGGGGGGGGGGTTAAGACAGAAGATAGGGGAGGGAGGGGGGGGGGGTCGTATGCGGCGCTTGTGTGCCAAATCTCTTGCTCGACCCTGCTTATATCTCATTTGCAAAATCTTATATATAAAGCTGAATGTCTGTTTGTATGTATGTCTGTATGTCTGTCTGTCTGTCTGTCTGTCTGTCTGTCTGTATGTGTGTACGTATGTTCCGAATAGAAAATTCCATTTCTGAACCGATCCGGACCAAACTTGGCACACATACGCTACGGGCCCCGGCGGGTGTCATAGGCTACTTTTCGTCATCGATCGATATCGATTTTATCGATTTTTATCGATTTTTTTGCTGAGTTCACCTACGGGGCTGGGAGTTGGCACAGGGAGGTAATCGAGCATGGGGATTCCGAATACAATATTGGTTCTTAGGATTATCGATTACTTTTATCGATTTTATCGATTTTTTTGCAAAGTTTGAGCTACGGGGCTGGGAGTTGGCACAGGGGGGTAATCGAGCATGGGGATTCCGAATACAATATTGGTTTTCAGGATTATCGATTACTTTTATCGATTTTATCGATTTTTTTGCAAAGTTTGAGCTAGGGGGCTGGGAGTTGGCACAGGGGGGTAATCGAGCATGCTGATCATCCCCAAGGGGGTTTTTTACAAAAAATCGATAAAATCAATAAAAGTAACCGATAATTCTGAAAACTAATATTGTATTCGGAATCCCCATGCTCACTTCCCCCCTGTGCCAACTCCTAGCCCTGTAGGTGAACTCTGCGAAAAAATCGATAAAAATCGGTAAAATCGACATCGATCGATAACGAAAAGTGGACTGTGACACGCGCCGGGGCCCGAAGTGTATGTGTGCCAAGTTTGGTCCGGATACGGCGGAGCCGGGTAAGCCAGCTAGTTGGCTATATTACCATATCGGATGCAACTTACGAGTATCACATCGTTGTAGAGAACAATTTTAACTTTTCGGCGGTGTAGGCTGTTCCACTCAGCAGTCCCGCCTATGGAGTATCCTTCCACGGATTTCACAAGCCTCCTTCGCGAACAAACGAGATATGGCTAAACATAATGTTAGTAGGATGAATCAACAAAAAGACAGCATTGTGGATTGTTAGAATAAGTAAAAGCTAAACTGTAGTAACATATATTATTATCAAACAACTCTTCTAACTATGCTCTAGATCAGCGCATCATTAGCAACAATGCTCAAGTTGCAATTCTGTGACAGTAGGACTTCAAACTTGTGCGTTTTCACCAATAATAAGAACGGCCAACTTTGCCAATGCTGCGTTCTGAGCTGTCACATCCGATTATGCACATGCATGCTGCAAAACGGACATCTCATGTGCTTATTGTTCGGTATGTACAAATCAGTTACTTTACCAGCCCGATTGTATACCCCAAGCCAACTGCGCAGTTCATTCAGGGCCGACGCTTGTTACTATCGCTGCAATGCTTTTAAGAGAGAAAAGTTCTGCAAACAAATTCTTATATTAGGGTGATCGGTAAAAAATGGGGCAGCTTGATTTTTATTAAATTCTGGGATTTTTTGTTTTGATCAACAACAAGCAGGCTACAACGTTAACGTCGCTTATATAAGCAACCTTCGCCTATTACTCTGGCAAAGCGTCAACGCTCCCCTCCCACAATCCTACGCGTGGCGCCCTGAAGAACTCGAACGGGGTTTTTTGAACATCGCTTATTCTTGCGCTGCCATACCGTAAAGTCATAGAGCAATTGATATACCATTTGAAAGAGCTCTTCATGCTCTTTCAAACAGTTCATTAAACATATAGGATTTCTTTCTATTTTTGGGTAAAAAAGGCGAAATACCTAAAAAATCGCGATTTTTTGGCGCAACAAAAACCAATAAATCAAGTTTCAATCTGTATTTTCCGAAGACAGATAATATGTGAGGTAAGCTGCATACGGATGGATAGAGCGTAAAAAACTCTTTCACCTATAAAACATGCGTTCACCTGCAAAGAATTGAATAGCACGTATTTTTGTTCTCAAAGCTGCTAATGGCCATATCTCCTGACTTCAAGCGTTGCGACCACCAAGCCATGGTGCATTTGGTGACTGTACCTTCACGCATTGCAGCAGTAATACTTTGAATGGTTTCACATGTTTCACTGCGCAGATACTGCCCGAAGTTTACAATTTGTCAAAGTGAATAACTTTGCGTTTCAGCCACTATAAAAATTATTAAGTATGTAAATGATTTTATATACGTATTTTCTGAAAGAGAATAATTTATTCTAACATCTCTCAAAATTGAGAAGTTTAATCACTTTTCTTTTTTGAGAAATCTACATTTATTTTCTAGGTGCCCCTTTTTTACCGATCACCCTAATATATGAAGCTGAATGTTGTTTGTCTGTCTGTACTGTATGTCTAGGTGTATGTATGTGCGAAATAGAAAATTTTATTTCTGAACCGATTTGGATCAAGCTTGGCACACATATACTTCAGGGCGGGGAGCGTGACGTAGGTTATTTCTCGTTATCGACCAATATCGATATTATCGGTTTTTATCGATTTTTTGCGAAGTTTAAGTTACGAGGGCGAGGGTTAGCACAAGGAGTATGTGAACACGCTGATACGAATACAACATTAGTTTTTTTATAATTACCGATTATACATTTATCGATTTCATCAATTTTTTGCAAAGTTCGACCTACGGAGCTGGGAGTTGGCACAGGGGGTAATCGAGCATGCTGATTACAAATAGTCAATACAGTCGTTGTATTAGTGATTGCGAGAAGGCAAAAACCCATGACCTCGACAGCGGTGGAGTCAAATGCCTGCTGTGAAAATTTGATTTAGAGAGCCACAAAAAACGCGCTGTCCTGAATAAAGAATACAAGGCCGGACGAAAAATGTTGCCAAAGGAACTGCACCTAAAATATGAAAACTTCCTGAGTCTTAAGAAAGATAGTGAGACCGTAGCTGATTGCTTAAAAGCACGAAGCAATAAGCAAGGAAGTGTCGGAACTGCGGTGGTGGATACTTTCCCGGAGATTGCAGAGCTAAACTGTGTTTTGTAAAAAAAATGCAAGATGACAGGTCATAAGGAGAGGTGCTGCGAACAAACAGCGGGGATAACGCTTACTTAACAGCACTCAAACCGAATAATTCACAGAAATAGTGATAGCGGTAAGACGAAAAGCTCGAGTAAAATACGACCTCATGTGCATAGCGTCGCGAAGTTGCGAATGCGATGATGGAGGTCAACTCGACACGTATGTATATCGAAGCAAAAGTGAATAATCAGCCAGTTGGTTTCCTGTTTACAGGATCAGACATTACATTCTCAGATAATCGCCGGGGTAGGCAGCCATGCGATTTTTGGGCAAGCGGGCACTGGAAAAATAGTTCGCTGATTTCTTGAGGTCTGCTTGCAGAAACTTGGAAGGATGTTGGCCAACTTTTGAACGAATGCTCAGAGAACAATCGCGGTTCTTCCATAGATTGGTTGCGGCACAATAGCCGCGGACTTTCCGCGAGAATATGCAGAATTATTGAGGACCGTACGGTCCTTTCTGGAGAACCGCACAGCCCGTAGGTACGTTCGGTTGAAAGGAGGTACCCCAAACTCGGTAATCAAACCATCGTGACACCCGAAACTTGAAAAGAGTCCGAGCGCCTGCTGAAAGTTGGCCCTGCGCCCGCTGAAAGAGATTATTTGAAGAGCGCCTGTAGAAAATCTTGTATTGCTGCCCGCTGGCAGAACACGGAAGTACCGCTCGTTGAAGGTTCGGCCACGCATCAAAATTTCACTGACCGCTTGCAGAAAAGCGCTAATTCGCGGATCGCCTGCACCTGCGATTATCTGAGTTGTTGAACGAATCAATTTGAAGAAGCATGGGTTCTCCTCGACTGGAAACACAAAGTGTTCGTCAAGAATGCTAGTGGAGGTTCCATGAAAGTGCATGGAAAGCTGTGACACGACTGCGAAATTGAAGAGCCCAGAAGCGAAGTTACGCATATGTGACGCCTCACAATGCTGACTGGATTTGATTCAGATGAGCGAAGCCATGTCCTATCACTTGTGCAGAATGATAGCTAAAGTGAAATCGGAGGATAAAGATGACGTCGCTCTAAAATTGAAAGAAGCCTACCCAGAAGTCTACAAAGAAGGCTTGGAACTATGTACGAAAAAGAAAGCCACATGCAGGTAGATAAAAGTGCCCGTCCAGTTTTTAAGGCCTGTAGGCCTGTCCCGTATGCTGCACTTGAAGCTGTCGAGAAAAAGTTGTACAGACTACTAGAACTGGAAGTTATAAGTCCAGTGACACATAGGAATAGGCAGCGTCCATCGTGTGCGTCAGAAAAGCGAATGACAAGTGGAGAGTGTGTGTTGATTTCTCAGCCAGACTCAACAAAGCACTGAAGTCGCATCGTTAACAATTGCCATTGCCGAAGGGTATATTCGCACCACCAGGTACAGTGTTTTCGCAGATAAATCGAACGCTTACCTGCAGATCGAATTATCATAAGAAGCCAAGGAAGTGGTTGTGATAAACACGCATAGAAGGTTGTACCAATGCAACAGACTGCCTTTTGAGATAAAAACACCCCCAAGGATCTACCAGCAAATCCTCAGATAATCGCCGGGGGCAGGCGATCCGCAAACTCGCGCTTTTCTGCAGGCGGTCAGCAGAATTTTGGGGCGTGGCCACACCTTCAGCGGGCGACACTTTTTACGGTCGCATATTCTGCCAGCGAGCAGCAACATCGCATTTTTTGCAAGCGCTCGACAAATAGTTTCTTTCAGCGAACGCTGGCCAAACTTCCAGCAAGCGCTCGGGCCCTTTTTACGCAGTTTCGGGACGTACGCCGAGCAAAGGTGAAACTCTATGTGGCAGAGGTGTCATCGATGGTTTAATTACCCGAGAGTTTGGGGTACCTTCTTTCAGCGAAGGTACCCAGGGCAGTACGGTCCTTCACAAAGGACTGCTGCTCCCAGCAATTTTGCATAACCTCGCGGAATGTCGCGAGAATGCGGCCACTGGGCCGCAACCTATTCAAAGAAAGACTTGATAGTACTCCAAGTTCGTCTAAAAATTGGCCAAAATTATTTTAAGTTTCTGCAAGCGGAGCGCAAGAAATCAGCGAACTATCTTTCCGGCGCTCGCTTGCTCAAAATTCGCATGGCCGCCTGCCCCCGACGATTATCTGAGTCATGAACAAGATGATAAGCGGATTGCGAGAGGTAGCACCTACTTAGATGACATCTTGGCCTGTGGAAAAATTGAAGAGGAACGCGTGGAGAACTTGTTCTCAGATAATCGCCGAGGCAGGCGGCCCGGCCATGTGATTTATGGGCAGGCAGGCGCCAGAAAAATAGTTCGCTGATTTCATGCAGTCTGCTTGCAGATATTTGGAAGAATGTTAGCGAAAATTTAGACCAGGGTCAAGCGTGGGGTGCGGCACGCCACACCTGGGGGTCGTATTGAGGAGTCAAAAGGGGAGGGGGTCGTAGTTGGGTAATCTGATGATAGTGATAAACATGATATTCGTATCATATCCATAATGAGCATGTCAATTAACCCCTGTAGACAAAGTTTTAGCGAATTCTGAAGATTCAAGATACTAGGCTACCTAAATGAAATGGTCAAATTCCAACATGGTTAACTTTGTTTCAAAGGTGAATAAGCTATCCGTTTCTGCACTCAAGACAAAGCACTACTCCTTCTTTGTCCATCTCAGGAATCCCGCTTCAGAAGACCTGCAAACTGTGGAATTAGAGGCCAACCAAAATCTCGTTTTTCTCATTTTTCGCTTTCGATCGCTGTGCTTTCACCAAATATTACTTACAGCTAAGAAGACAAATCAGGCTCCAAACAGCCCTATGGAATCTACAAGGTTTAGGCTATCGATTCATATAAATATTGTCCGCTAAAAATGTTTTTTTGATATAGTTAATGGGGTGCGGCACACCCCCTTAAAAGCTACGGCTGCCGCAGCTTTCAAGGGGGTGTGCCGCACCCCCTTAACTTGCCTTCAAAATCCAGAAAGCGCACATTGCTGGTATGAGTATTGAGCACATAGCT